TTGCTGGATAGGAGGTGAGTCCAGGTGGATCTGTTGTGGTCATCTACCATGGTAAGAAAGTATTTATAATTGTTATATGTGGGTATATTATACGGTCCACACAAATCAATATGTAACAAGTCAAATATATGTTTGGTGTTGCTGGTCCTTTGGGGAAATGGCAATCTGGTATGTCTGGCCATTGGACAAATGGAGCACATAAAGGGTTGTTTGTTAGAAAAGGTAATAGGAATGGTGGTAATGCTCTTCATTTTAACAAAAGGAACATGTCATAATCTGTTATGCCAAAATACATTCATATCATTGCCATGAGACAAACAAGAAAAAGGAACACAAACAAAAGTTTTATTATGAATGGATTTATGTACATTTGAGAGGTGATCACATTATGAAGAGTCCTTATCATAGGTAGTAGATGACTTATTACAGATGGATCTATTTATATCATAGGTGTGGGATGGAATACAAGAAACAGAAAGAGTAGATGCTGAAATATTACTAGCATTCTTCAAGCAGAGAGAACAAAGAAGGTACTACCCATCTCTGATTTTACCAATCTCCAGAGGCCTCTTCATTGAAGGGGCATGCAGAAGACAACAAGTATCAATGAAAGCTATTAAAGACTTGTGTTGGGCAGTTAAAGAAGAGATATATATGAGATTAAATTTGAATGATGGGACAAACATGAATCTATGCAAGGTGATTTGAGGATCAAGTGACACACTACCAATTTCTGTCATTCTAACTCTGTAACCATTTGGGAGAGTAACCAACAAGGGACAGGGTAGTATTCTAATATCTAGCAAAGAAGATCTATTGAAAGTCATATGATGAGATGTCCCATAATCTAAAATCCATGTGTCAACCCAAGTTCCGAAACATTTACAATAGGTGATTAGCTTATGCTTCCGATCAGACTCCTATCTCGATTAAATCTAAATCTTTTAAATAAACTAATGTGAAGTGCGGTGAAACTTGCAAGAATATATTGGTTAGAATAGTCTAAGAGAAACTTCTCTCGAATATTTCTCAATCTTAATTTAAGAGGTAGATAATAAAGCTCTTTCGATTACTTTAAAGAAGTACAAAAATAAATTAAATCATGCGTTGCAAAATATTCAATATTATGCTCCTCTTCCGATTAAATAAGATAATGAATAAAATCACAACTAGAGTTAAAACTCTTCCAATAAATTCAAGCAATTAAGCAGTAATCAAATCCATAAACAATAATCAAGTCACCAAAGCACGTCAAACCCTAAGGTAAACTACTCCATAATTATGGAGGAAGTCATCACAAAAAGAGTTAAAGAATAAGAGAGCATAAATCTAACTTTACATTCCAAACTCCCGTATTGAATTGATGGAGAGATGATGAAATCCCATGTCTTGTAGCCTCCAATCCTTTCCCAAAGCTTCTAACGTCAAAAGTCCCTTCAAAAACGTGTTTCTTGTGTATTTATACCAAGTAGGAACGAACCCAGACGGAACTACCCTCTTTGAGCTGAAATAGGAAAACCTACAAACTTTTTACACTTTATGCGTCGCACAGTGCTACGCAGTGTGCATCGCATTAGTGCATTTTTTTCGGTTGTAAACTCTCTGAATTTGGCTTGTTTGACAAAAATTTGTACTGATGCCACACACTATGCCTAGAATTAGTGTAGTTTTCTGTCAGATCCAAAGACTACAAGTCTCGGAACTTCTAAAATTTCTGACGCACATTTGCCTTGATGCGTTGTAATGTGCTACGCATAATGCGAAGCATTAGTAAAAATATCATAACCCTTGCGCTTTCTTCCAACTTTCGTATGCAACGCTGGTCCACGAGTCTCGGACACGATCCTGGTTTGATTCCTTGGCTTTTACTCAGACTTGAAAGCTCCTATTAGTTGATTTAGCTCCAAAATATCTTCTTAACTCGGAATCATCTCCTACAAAGCATAAAACATGTAATAAGTGCAAATCACTATCATTTAAGCTCAAAGTGCAGTAATTAGAGTGCCAAATGCGGCTAAAAGATGTGTTCCTAGCCTACCATCAACACCCCACACTTAAATTATTGCTCGTCCTCGAGTAATCAAACTACACTTTACATAGAAACAACCTTCTCATCTTACAACTTTCCTAACGCATCATGACAAGAATATTTAAAATATTCTAAACACCATATCGTAACATCCTAATCTCATGACTCGACTCAAAATTATCACATATTTTTCACAACCTATTCACTTACTCTAACACAAAGGTCAAAGACTTTAACTTTCCTTCGCAAATCATGTGCCCTCACACAAACAATAGAGAGTAATTCCACACATAATAAAATTCAACAACAAATAAGAACTCAAGATAGAAAGAATTAACTCACTCTTAGAAATCAAATTCATGCACCACATAGAATATAATATAATCTTGCCCATAATGTAATACTCTACTAATTGAGCTCATTTAGTCAAAGATCAAGCAGGACTTAATTTTGATTGTAATGTAGGCTGTGGATGGGTAGGATACATATGAATATAGTGACTACACCTCCCTGAGAACTTTAATACATACAATTTCATAATTTAAACCCCACACTTATTTTGGACCAAATCCCAACCTTCACAACATTAAGCTCCCTATATCTTTAAGTACAAACAAGACGGGAACTACTACTAGCAAGGGATCACTTTTTCTCTTTTCTAACACACTTTTTTTCCTTATTTTCAGAGTTTTGATTGAGTTTTCTTTCTCTCTTTTTTCCAATTCCTTACATGTGGCTCTCATAATTTTTCAAACAATGCACATTTCTCCTTTTTCAATAGTTCCACTCAAAAACCTGACCATACCTCCACTTAGATTTTACAAGCTCATACAAACTAAAGTGCTCACAAGAGGTAAAAGATTCAAACAGATAGACAATTCAAATAAAGGGGTCAAGCTTGTAGTGTGGTTGCCAAAGAAATAGGAATACATGCTCAATGGAGCTAACTAAGATATACATTAATTAGGTAGGTAAAAGCATATAATTGGCTCAACAAAGAAATGTCTAGACTGAACAAGACTACTATTTCACTTTGCAAACATATGAAGTAAATTTTAGACATCAACGGACATGCATATCACCAATAACCTCGCACACATATGGCACATAACTCATACAGGATTGGATCTATCCCGACTCTCTAGTAAAAGTAATTAAGCAAAGTCACAATCAACCAAATTAAGGCACTTATCTATGAGTCAAGAACTGAACCTAGGCATCACAACTAAGACACTCACTACTCTCAAGGCACAACAACGTCAAGAAAAGTCATATCCATCTAATACATAGCACAAGACTTCACTATTCCTAAAAAAGAAAACTAACTACACCTGGTTCAAACAAAACCCTTGGAAAAGAACCACGACACAAAGAAAAATCAAGGGAGAATTGTTACAATTATCATAACCCTTGCGCTTTCTTCCAACTTTTGTATGCAACGCCAGTCCACGAGTCCCGGACGCGATCCCAGTTTGATTCCTTGGCTTTTACTCAGACTTCAAAGCTCTAATTAGTCGATTTAGCTCCAGAATATCTTCTTAACTCGGAGTCATCTCCTACAAAGCATAAAACACGTAATAAGTGCAAATCACTATCATTTAAGCTCAAACACACTCAAAGTGAAGTAATTAGAGTGCATAATGCAGCTAAAACACGTGTTCCTAGCCTACCATCATGCTTCATTTACATGTTGTGCAATCAACTGCTCCAAGTATCTTGTTGGTTGATTTGTTCACCCTGTTGCCCATTAGTGCGAGTAGCAGACCTTTCAGGTGAACTTTCTCATGAATGTTGTGGAGTAGCTGTGGATGTGTGATGTGATGGAGTTCTATCTTGTTGATTCACATGATCAATTTCGTTACCAGTAGACATGTTTGTTGTTAAAAAATAAAATGTGGAAAGTGAACAGGTTATCAGATTTCCGATAACGGAACCAATTTGTTTAACCCAAAAATAATTTTTATGGCCAAAGTTAATATTAAGAAAAATTGAATTACTGATAACCAAAATTATTTCACTTTCTTGGTAATGCAGAAATAAAGCAAATAATTGAAATAATAAGTAAGGAAAGAAAGATTATTGTTGATTGCTAATTTTTTCTAGAATTGCGGATTGGAATCTTGAACCAAAAAAAATTAAAAACTGATTGTATATATTTAGATATGTTCTAATGATTGTACAAAATGAGGTATGAGTCCTTGTATAAGGATACACAATTGTAACAGTTTTCCTACTTAATTCTGACTCGTTAACGATATTAATTACCTTGATTGCCCGTTACTAAATTTAATTGTAATGGATACAGTAATAATAGAGGATCACCCGTAATCAAAGCTAATATTGATTCCTCTTCCATTTTTATAACAGAATCGTGAATCTTCCCCTTTTCCAGTTTTTATTCATCTCGTGCCTATTTCTTTTTTTCAGCTATTAGATATGGTACCTCCTCTGATAAAACATTATGGGTGTTTTATCCTTCCTTTCTATTTTTCTTTATTGACCCAATTATAAGTGCTACTTGTCACCTCGTTGTTGGTACACGTGTCGTGCTTTTTTCCCACCAATACACTAGTTATGTTGGGATTATTATACAATTAATAATGAAGGGATTGTTATAACATGATTAATAACGAAAGAATTATTATATATGAATTACTTACTTTAAAAGAGTATTTTTGTTTAAATAATTTAATCTCATATTGCTAATGCATATATTATTATTTTAAAATAATGCATAGATTTTCTTATAATTAAAATATGGATATTATTTAACATCATCAACCAAACAATGCTAGTCATGAGGCGATTATTTTTTTCTTATGAGACCCTATGAGAGATTTTATGCTGGGATTAATACTCCAACACCACAACCAAACGACATGATATATCAAGACAAATGAAGGATCTCATAGGAGCAAACTAGCACTAAAATATATGGAAGACAGAATGCATGACAAGTGAGGAGAAACTATATATAAGACCTTTTCACATTTTATCAGCAAAACTTTTTTGGGTGTTACCAAATTGTTGTATTAACATGATATAGTAGTATTTCGCATATTACATAAAATATTTTTCGCCTCTTATAGAATTCTTTTATGTCATTTATAGAAAGCCGGAATTGCTTAATTACAAGGGGGCTATTTGAAGCCTCCTCCATACCAGATGCAGGTGCTAGTAGCAATATCAATCTGAACTTGAATCTTCAACACACATAAGTGTTGGTATTTGGCCATGATCAACAAAGTCAATCTTGTTTAATCTCAAACAACCAAGCACTTTCTCTGGTAGCTCTTCTTGCTTCTGTGCCTGTACGATTCAAGAAAAAGTTTAAGTTCCATTTATTGACCGTATGAAAAATATTACTCCCTTTGTTTCAGTTCACGTGAACATATTTTTTTTTGGTGCGTTCCAAAAAGAATGACCTTTTTCTAAATTTGAAAACAATTTAGCTTAAACTTACAATTCTACCGTTAATGAGAAACTTCTATAACCACACAAATACTTTGGGCCTCTTTTAGACTTGTTTAGGACCACAAATTCCAACTTTTTCTTAAATTTTGTGTTCAGTCAAACAGGTTCACATAAATTGAAACGAAGGGAGTAACACAATCAAGTTACTTAAAAGATAACTGCAGACGATTGACTAGATTAAGTATGGATTGGTACCACCTAAAAATAGCAAGTAACGTGCGTTGCTACTGTGAAAAATTTGTCAAGCCAAAATCTAAGCCAACTTTCTCATTCCTACAGAATCCAATTATTTGTGTAATATAGTACTCCCTCCGTTTCATATTAGATGAGATAGTTTGATTCGACACGGAGTTTAAGAAAAAAGAAGACTTTTGAAACTTGTTGTCTTAAAAGCTTAAGGGGTAAAAAGTTTGTGGGGCCATGACATTTGTGTAGCTATAAAAACTTCTCATTAAGGGTAAATGGGTAAAATGAAAGAGTTTAAAGTTGAATTATTTCCAAATTTAGAAATGTATCATTTGTTTTGGAACTGACTAAAAAGAAAGTACCTCATGTAATATGAAACGGAGAGAGTAAGTAAAAAATGATGAGAAACCTGAATTGTTAGACCAAGATCCAGTATTCCAAATCCTAAACGCTCCCTAAAAGAGTCGAGTCCTTTTCTTGCAATGTAGCTGAAGCGATGAATGTCAAGATCAATTTCGAAGTAATTTGGACCCTGGAATAAACAGAGAAAGAACATAGCATTAACGTTCATGTCCCATTACAACAAAGATTTTACAGTGTCAGTGCATAAAGCTTAAACTCTAAATCCAAAGGATAGAGGATCCACCTGATAAAAGGTGTGTTGAGGGCGCGAAAGCACAGGCTTCTCATTGTAAGCATTTAAAAGCTTACTTTCAGTAGCATTTGAAACAAGCTCAGTTGGATTAACCACCCCAACCATAATCTTCAACCTCTCTCTAAAAGGAACAGATGATTCTCTTGCAAATCCTTTTACCTTTTCCATATCATCCTCAACTAATCTCTGTCATACCAATCAACAGCACATATAAATTAAAATTAAATATGGAAAAACACTGAGGCGTAGTAGTTGTTGTATGGAAGAGAAAATGGAGACATTGTGTTCATGAATCACAAAATCGTTCTGACAGAAGAGCTCAGTCTATCTTCTAACTTTGGCATATTCTCACAATCATATCTTTGGAATGAGAGCCTTGGCGTAACTGGTAAAGTTGCTGCCATGTGACCAAGAGGTCACGAGTTGTAATACAGTATACAATAAACCCTTGTGTGTCCGGACCTTCCTCGGACCCCGCGCACAGCGGGTGCTTAGTGCACTGGGCTGCCCTTGTTGACAATCATATCTTTCAAGTAAGACAGCGAAAACCATAACACGATGTGTATTTTACTTCCAAGACTAGCATAGATGAAATCCTCTACGTGTCAGAAGGAAAACTCATGAAGTTGACATGAAATTACCTTGATGCTGTCCTGAAACTGGGGAGAAATGTCTTTGTCAAAAGTTTCAGAAATTTTGAAATATAATACAAGGCTTAAGCCTTCACCATCAGCATCACCGACGAACATTGGAGCAGGATAAGTAGGCAACTGAAACAAAATATCGACAATATTTCATTAGAATAGGATGTTATATCTAATATAAACTCATCTGAGAAGGCGCGGACGGGGCAGAGACTACACTTATACCTGAATATTAACAATTAGTAATGGTGGAAATTTCCCATCTCCTTTTACAGAGGGAAGCACAAGGTGTTGTGCAATATGGTTGATCTTTTTAGGGGACACAAATAAATCAACACCAATAGCAGTATAAGGAGACACATTTGGTGCTGGTGATTTTTTCTTGTCTCTGCAGTTCAAGGGAAAAATTAAGAAATATATGTATAATGACTAATCCATTACAACCTATTAATTGGAAAAGGAGAAGAATCCACTTAAATTTGTACCTGAAATAACTGTCACTACGGAGCTTAAAGTTGGACGGATCAATCTTTGACCAACTTCCTGCTGTTAGCTTTTCTTCTGTACTTTTACAAGGAATTTGGAGCCCGGCCTTGGGACGATAAAGATATTTTTTCGATGAACCTACAAGATTACAACTATGTTTAATACACGTCCTCAACAATAGGTTTGTTCACCTATGTTTTTATATTCCAGAACAGGAAATTTAAATTTTGTCACGACCCAAGCCAATGCCACGTATTATCCGCTTTGGGCCCAGACCCGTAGGGATTTATCTTTCGGGCTACTCCACATCGAGCATCAAAAGAGCGCGTACCATGTGAACTTATGTAGTCCTGCATGACCCGCCCTCCTTCATGGGCGTCACATTCACATTCACCCCCCTTGAGACTTAGCATCCTCATTGAGGTTTTGCCCCACCACCTTCTCAAAGAGGTGGGTTCGCGGTGATACCATATTTGTCACGACTCAAGCCCATGGAACGTATTGTCCGCGTTGGGCCTAGGCCCGCATGGATTTGTCTTTCAGGCTATGCCACAAAAGCGCGTGTACCATGTGAACTTGTGTCATGCCTTATAAAGCTCTTCACTTTCCTCTCCCATTCCGATGTGGGATTCGCCTAAGTTGACATGACCCGCCCTTATCTGCCTGCTCTCCGTCATGGGCGCCACATAACATATCATATAATGATCGTTGCATATGCATATAATGATTTTTGAAAATTAGACTTGATTAAAGATGAATAATATTGAAATGGAAAATGGTGAAGTACTTACAGTACTTATTTTCTTCTTTTCCATCCACAGATGTTCTCGTTAGAGAAAGCCTAATAGTCGATTGCTTTACTTGAGAAACGTGGCCTGAATTTGATGAACTAATAATCTTTTCATTGAAACTCAAGGAAGTAACCAGCTTTGGTAAGACAGTCTTGAGCACATTCTCTTGAGTTTTCTCCTGCACACCAAATTTATCCTCTTTAACACTATTAAAACTTCCATAAGCGCGGTCCAAAAATCTCTTCCTTTGGGCTCCAAGGACTTCATGCGTCCCAAGGGACGGAACTTCATAGCCGTGACCACCTATAAGTGCAAGTCCTTTTGGACTATTAACTCCATCTTTGAGCAAAAACTTGTCTGTTCTACTGCCGTCTATCTTGAGATATCGTTCGTGGTACTCCTTGTACTTAAGTTTGCTATCCATAAAGCACGACGATGTTTCATATTGAACTACTTGTCCAGGTTTAGGAAAAAGATCTACAAAATTGAAGAGTATAAATAAGCAAATGAGGAATTAGGACATGGCCATTGCTCATTTATCGCGAAGAAAGAATTGACATTGCTTATAGACTAAAGTAGTATGTTGGTCCAAAAAATAGAGGAAAACTACTGAAGTCATTACCTCCGTGGACGCTACTGAAGTCATCGTCATCGTCTGAGTCAGACTCAACATTGCTGTATGTGTCAAACCATGCTTCTTCTTGGCTAAGAACTGCAAGTTTTAATAGCCACACAATTAGAGCACAAGTTTCAAAAGTTTTATAGCCACACGATTCAAAAGAAAAACTTACCATTAGCATCTGATTGAGTATGATGCCACTGCAACTGAGTCTGAGTGAGATGGTATTTGGAACTGGAGACCTCAGATCTTCTAACAAACTCACTAACAGCAATATGTGGTCCTACATCACTCTTTCTTCTCCTAGTTCCTTCTGCAAGAGAGATTAAATTCTTTCCACGGAATTTTCTATGGTGACGATGGTGTTTCTTCTGTACTTTGATTGTATGGCCTGGAGTTGATACACAAGCACCCATTTTTCTAACTCAGCTCACAAAAGTAGCTTCTGCTAATTGTTGCTGTCCCATTCCAGCAGATGAAATAAGGATACCTGGTAGTTGAGCACAAGTAAATTGAACTGTGTGATTATTGTAGGAGGGGATCCACCCATACACCTAATGTCTTCGTCTCGAACTATAAATGTTTTATTTAAAACTCGCTTTTATACAAATTCCATACCTATTGTCACAAAGGAAAGGAGTAGTGGATACAACAACACACTGAACTCGTTAGTCTAAAATCTTGAATCCGCCTCTGTATCGTCTATAGAAGGCCAGTTTCAGAAGAGCAAACGTAGAAAAAAAAAAGGATAGTTTTTTAAATCTACATACAAGTTCCAAAATTTTACAGCACACACCAACAGGACCTGCAAAGTAGCATTAAGTATAAATCAACTTGCATTAGTATTGATTTTGTAGTACCCAAATTTTCAACAACATAATGAAACTCATAGAGATAAGATAGAAACAGATTTTTTTCAGGTTTAGCAACAGTGAAACTCATATGTCACATGTAAGATTAAATCAGCAAAATTCTTGCCACCAAAAATAGCTATTGAGGAGCATAAAGAGCCCAGATGCAACTTATATTTAATGATTTCAACTAAACTCAATATCGTCATGGAATATAGATATATATGTGAAACCCACTAAAATTCTAACAAATATTAAATTCTGTACCCATAATTTCAAAAGTACAATGTATTTAGTGCCAAGAACTTTCCATTTAGCGGCATGCATAGTGTTATTCATAAGCGGTATCAACACTTAAAGAAGTGAATAATTACGTCATATAAAAAACAAACAATTCAAAATTAAGAAAACACAATACAACTCTCTTCAACGAATTTCATTTGATTTCGAATTATTTTTTTTAATACTTCTAATATATAAGGCATCAATTTACCACTCAAAATTAGCTCATCATTCATTTGATTTCGAATTATTTTTTGTGCATAAGGAACATATTCTACCTCAAATTTTGATGCTCCTTATTTGATAGAAGATGGGGATTCGAACCCTCACAACCTCTCAAAGAGAGATAAGTCGCTTCACCAGCGAGCCAACAAAGTGTGTTGTTACTAGTGGTGGTGTCATTTGTTATATTTATACCAAAATTTTGTTTTGCTTATAATTTATTATTGCAAATTTGGTTTTTAAAAAAAAATGATGAAGCAGTGTCCCGCGGCATTCTGACGTTGCTTCTATCTATATATCTAACCCATTTGTACATGAAATGACATCCTATTTTTGTCCTTTCTCATGCTCCTTCTTCCTCCCCTTCTTCAAAATCCGATTCATATTTTTCAAAATAAAAATTTGATTAATGATAGAAAAAGAGTTGTTTTAGGTCATATTTGAGGAATATTTTCTGTGTTTGGGCTGAAAAAGCAATACCACTTTATCATTATCGAATTGACCGTAATCTATTTCTGTCCGTGAAGATCACATCAAAGCTACTGTCTCTCAAGCTTGTGAGCTTTTAAAATATTGAATTGAGACGGTTTTAAATGAAACTACATGAGTTGAAAGAATATGTATATGGCCTAACTTAACTAGCTTGAGATTCAGGCATTATTGTTGTTGTACAAAGAAATAGTAAAAATACTTAATGTACTCATACTAAATACACACAATGATCGATCATTTGAATACATACACGTATACATTAACTCTATATAACCTAGGTGACGAGTGTGATCCAAAATGCAAAGTTGTGACTCAAAAATTTACATACAAGCATGCATGCAGGGTCGGAACTAGGTGATGTCAAGAGTTTCAATGGAATATATCCCCTGTAGCTAAATATTACATTGTGCGCAAATAGGGCAAAAATGAAATTTTCTGATTACGTATAAACTGGTGAATTCTTTTGACATATGAGAAGATTCTTGTGTAATGTGGCAAAGGGAATTCAAAAATTGCTTCCATCACATGTTCAAATAACATGTGTTGAAATTCTTATATATTTTTGAATTCCCTTGTATGTATTTCTGGCTTCGCCGCGGCATGCATGTGTGTGCGCCTATGCAGGAAATAGCAAAAGGAAGCAGAAATGAAAGAGTATGTACCTGTTATACATACATACATGTAATGTAAGAGGAGTGTTGATAAAGAAGGAAGATAATGAAAGAAGCTTGGCTTGGTTTCTCCCTCTCTTATATAATTTGTGAAAGAACAAAACAAGAACCAAGAAAGAGAGGGAGAGAGCTAGCACAGCAATTCCAAACCTTCTCTTTTCTCAATCAGCTCTATATATATAATTTGATGAATTTATTTCCCCTGTATTTATATTTCAATGGAATTTGACGGAGTGATTATATAGATAGAAAGAGAAATGTTGAAAAAAGGAAGGAAGAAGAAGAAAAAAAGGAACGTTCTTTTAGCTGCATGTGTGACTGTTTGCTTATTTCGTTACCGGCTAGCTCCATTCCATCCATTCAATATTCATGCACTAATGTTTGCATAAACTCTATCACTTAGTCATTGTTAGATAACATATCGTCATTTATCCATTAATAATACAATTAATATAATTTCATGCAAATACCAACGTCTGCGAATAAGTTTTTCTCTTGCTCCTTTTTATTCCCTTACAAAATTAAATGCACTAAAGTAACAATTACATCATTATATATATTTTCCTCCTCATCAGTTTATCATTTGTCCATGAATAATCAAAATTATGGATTCGTGAAAATTAAATAACAAATGCGAACAAGTATTTTCTCATATTCCTTTTTTCCCTTTTAATTCAAATTGTATTGGAAAATTAAAAAATAGTTGGAAAAATGAAATAATACTAAAGAATTGTGGCAAAGAATATTGTGATTTACTCTCACTCGTAATCTTAATGTACTAGTTTCAAATACAAATTTAGAATTTTAAGTATGCAGAGAATACCACACTATTGCTTATATTGTTGAAGTCGCAATATATATATTGGAAGTTGAATTTGTGTACAGACATAAATTTCACTTGAAATATCTATATATTTTTTGAGTAAAGGTTATTACTAATTAGGTTGAAATACTCATCAAACAAGTTTTTCCATAGTTTACCGTTATTTTAAATACTTAAGGTCAATATTTGTATATATTAACTACAAAATCAGCATTACAAGTGGCCAGGCAGTGAGAATCAGGAGCCCTATGATCCATTTTAATTCTCCGTTTTTCCTACAACATGCACGAGTGGAGCTTTAGTTTAACGAATTTGAATCATATGTGTGAGCACGTGATTTTTGCCCTATATGAATTACTCTCACAAATTCAAAACAAAATAAATTTTCCTATTATTTGCAATTTCGTTTTGTTAATTGCTTGCATTTGTCTACGCACGTTTATTTTATTTAATTCACGAAAAATACAAAAATATGTTGCATTTGCATTTAGGATTTAATTTTATATTTTTTAGATTAATTAGCAAATTAGTTATTTTATAAAAATGGAAAAATCACAAAACTAAGCAATTTTGCATTTTATTGTTTAATTTCGAATTTTGGTAGTTTTCTTTAAATTTGGTTATTTTATTAGTTATGTTAATTATTGTTTAGAATTAATTAGTATTTTTGATAGGCTAATTTGATTTTAAGATTTAATTTAGGTTTTAATTTTAAATTTTGGAAAAAGAAAAAAAAAGAATGTTGAATAAATTGAAAAAAGAAAAGGAAAAGAGTTGAAGAAGATCAGACTTTGGGCCTTCTGTTTAATTTTCTCCAAGCCCAATTGATTTATACACAGATACCCGGTTGGCTCAGCCCAAAACCGCACCCCAACCCGGTCCGATTTCTACACCTAACCAAACAACATCGTTTGACCCCTCCCCATCTCAACCGTTGGATCAACAAGATCCAACGGATTAGAACTGATCACTTCCTCCATATAAAAATGTCGGAACCCCCTCTCACCCCCCTTCATCGTCTCTCTCTCACCCTCGACCACCCCTGAAACCTTAATCCGCCGCCCCTTTTTCCCCACCTCGAGCCCGGCGGCGCCACCATCAAGTAGCCCCAAAATAACACCCCTCGACCTCCTTCATCCCCTCTTCCCCAATCTCTAATTATTTTCCTTCGAACCACCCTAGTTTTGTTCGAATTTTGAATCTGAGTCCAAGTTTTCGCAGCCCAAAACCAAGTCTGGTGCCGGAGTCACTTCTTGGACTATTAATGGGTCAAAACCCATGCTAGTCAACTATTCTCTGTGAGGATGAGCGACTAGCCTGGATTTCGACTTATTTTGAAGTTTTATCAGATTTATGCAAGATCCAAACCGATGAGTCTATTCGAGAGAGGCATGCTTCCATTTAGTCAGTAGGTATTTTCCTCCTCTGTATCATTTCTTTTAAAACTCGTTTGGATTAGTACGTTAGAAGTAATTGGAGCCAGGTGCTATTTAAGTAGTTTATTTATCTTGTTTGAATCGTTTGTTTGGTTCATAACTGTTTCTAGGATAATTAAGTCATTTTTTTGTGAATCAGTTGAGTTCTTTGGACTCAATTCTCTTCCTCCCTTGTTTTCTTCTTCTTGCTTTTGGCCCAAGCACCCTCGTTCATCTGAGCCTCAATGCTCAGTGATTAATGGCTTGGAGTTTGTGGATTGGGTTATAATGTTTGGACCCATAGTTTAAACGAGGCCCCTTTTTAAATTGACCCATATGCCTGCTTGGCTTAAAGGTAAAAATAGGGTCCTCAAAGGGTAATTTTGGAAGTTGGGGTAGGGAGTCTTTTGTTAACAGCCTGAGGAAGCTTCTTAGAAGCTACAAAATAGCCTTACTTGGCCAACAAGTCAGTAATTTAAGGACTTTTTAAGCAAAAATGAGAATTGAGAAAGGGACTAAGGTGCAAATCTAATTCAAATTAGTTGCCCTATTTCCTTGCCTATAAAGGCATACTTCCGGGCATTCAACAGGGGATTCTTTTTGTTGTTGAGATTTTCAGATTTTTAGATTTCAAAGCTAAAGAGAGAGAAAAAAAATATCACAACAGCTGAATTTTTTGATAGAAAATACTGTTCCATTGAGTTTATGCTTTGCATTTTGAGGTCTTCACTTCCTGAATCAATTTCTGCTGGCTTGGGTTTTGAAATGGTTTGAGGTCTAGTCATCGAGGTTGGGTTTTGATGTTTGCTGGGTTATTGTGTGTTTGAAACTGGTTCCTGGGTTGTTGTACGTCATTTTCTGGGGTTTGAAATTGGTTTACTGAGTGTTGCTGGTACTGATTTCTGCTTGTTCTACTGCTGATTTCTCACTTTGTTCTTTGCCCCTTTCGATATCCAGGTATTACTCATGAGATCTGAAGAATGTAAATGCATATTTTGATGAAATGAAGTGGAAACAAAGTTCTGGAGTTTCTACCAGTAGTCTAATGGCCTATAGCTAGTTTTCATTTCCTTTATTAAATTTTTCTGATTCATGTGTTTCTTACATGTCATCTGTTTACTTCAGAATTGAATGTGGTTCTTTTGAAGTGTAGATGGTTCAAACGTTATAGACCCTATGCAATATGTGTTGAATGAGTCATCAGTATCTGCTTTCATGATGTATGTTAGGAGTCGCATAATTGAATAATAACTGAATTCTTGTAATCATTTAAGTCTGGCAATCATTAGGGAATAACCTATGGATTGTATGTGATGTTCTGAATCATGATGGTAAAATATTGAATGGGAAAAACTTAGGTATGATGTACAGGGTTGGGGCTTGGGTCTCTATTGAATATCAATATTACTCTCGTGTCCTTGTTATGTGAATCCATAAGGCTATCAAATGGTTGTAGGTGTTTGGTTTCAAAACTAGTAAATTTCCTAGGCCAGTCTCAGTTCTTGCGTATCACGTTTTTTTCAGAAATGATTTGAAATTCAAGTTTGTTCAAGGGCTATAGTTGCATCAGATTCTAATACAAGCGATGGATGCTTTTGAGTTTTGTAGTTGATGACTAATGTGTGTGAAAGAGGTGTTATTGCATATCAGGTTGTCTTAAAATTCGTGTGTGAACTGTAAGGTTTCAAATGCGTTTAAATTAAAATTGTAGTGGTGATTACTCCATTCAAAGTCTTTTTTTTTTAAAATGCATTTGTAAGGTTTCAAACGCATTGCATTTTGCTCCAAGTGCCTTTGATGCGTCGTGTTTTGGGCTATCATTCTTGGCCTGATTGCGAACTGTAGTCTTCTTCCACAATCAGGCTGCCAAGCTGGGCTACACTTGAATCCCAGTATTTTCACATATTGAACCCACAACAATGGTCAACCAAACAGGTTTTCTTTCATCAGCTGGGCCACTTTACAATCATTTTGGGGCGGCCTTTTGCTAGTTCCTTATTTTATTGAATCATTAGTATAAGTTTGGCCTGGAATAAATTAGAATTCCATACGTTCTTTAATTAATTATTCTTGAATCCCCTTTAAAAGTAGAATTGAGGCGTGCCATGCCAAATAAAATCCCTAAATTCATGGCCCTCACTTAATTAATTTTAATCCTTTAGAAATCGAGGTGTGCCATTAGATGAATTTTTCATGGCCCTCGCAAAGTTGAAAATGCATAGTTGCTTTAGGCGCGCTATTTTAAAATTACTTTCCTAAACTCAGGTGTGCATTTCATGTGACCCAAATCCAAATCCTAACAACGTTAAATAAAATATGTCTCGGACTGCGGCTGCATTTCACGTGGCGTGGTCCAAAGACGTGTTTTAGATGACGTTGAAATTTTCCTTAAAATAATTAAAAGCGGTTAGAAATTTAAAATATACTATAGGCTAAAACATGTATTAAAATCAGATAATAGGCCAATTATAATAGTTGAGCGACCGTGCTAGAACTACGGAACCCGGGAATGCCTAACACCTTCTCCCGGGTTAACAGAATTCCTTACCCGGATTTCTGTGTCCGCGGACTGTAAAATAGAGTCAATCTTTTTCTTGATTCGGAATTTGAACCGGTGACTTGGGATACCATAAATTATCCTAAGTGGTGATTCTGATTCTTAAATAAATAATCCCGTTTCGATTGTCACTTTAAGTTGGAAAAAACTCCCTTATTATACACCCCTTCCGGGTGTAGGAAAAAGGAGGTGTGTCAGCTCTGGCGACTCTACTGGGGATCGAACCCAGAATCTCTGGTTCAGGGTTCAGAATTCGAGCTTAGATGAATTATTATAGTTGGGTTTATTAATTATCTGATTTTTGTTACATGTTTGGGCCTAATGTGCTACGTGTTACTTGGATATTCTATGAACTATATATAAACTTCTACGAAACCCTTCTTCTCTCTGAGTCTTCTAAATCATGGAGGAGTGTGCACTTCGTGT